TCTGTACCAAGTTCAGAAACTCCACCCAGCTTGGTTACAGGAATATCCATATTACACCCATACTAAAGTCATTCCACTGGCTGCTAATTAGTTTCTGGGAAAAACACAAAGTGTTGGTTTTGACCTTTAAAGCCCTACATGGTTTGGGTCCAGATTGCCTACATAATCACCTTTTCCCATACAATCCACTCCAAACAATAAGGCCTTCTGGGTGGGGGGTGGCTACTCCGGCCTGCCAGAACCCAACTAGCAACCATCACCAAAAGGATCTTTTCATAGGCTGCTCCAAGACTGTGGAATGACCTGCTGGGAGAGATCCAACAGGTAAATGAGCTGTCAGAATTTTAAAACCATCTAAAGACCTATCTCTTCTGGCAGGCCTAGCCAGCCGGTTTAAATAATGGATTTCATACTTGTGCCTCATGTTTAATCTTTGTTCTGTGTGTTTTAATATGCATTTTGAGTCCCCCTTGGGGTGAGAAAAGTGGTATACAAATACTGTAAATAAATAATAAATAAATAAACTAAGCCATCTGGTATAGAACCAAAAAGCAGTGAGTTAGACAAAATGTATCATACATTTCAACAAGGATTTGACTCAAAACTGAGATAAATATGCCAAGCAAAAGCTTATGTAATTGGTATTATTGATACAATTATTGTGAAGGTTGCTGTTGCTGATATATTTATGCATACACAAACACACACACACACTGTTTGTGTCCACTGGGGGTTGTTTCCTAGATCCACCATGGATGCCAAAAATCTTTTTCCAAATCTGAGATGCAAGGTAGCTTACAAAAATTGAAATAGATAACGGAAAAAGATCACATCGTGAAAATTTGATTATTGATCAAAATATCAATAGAATTAAAATCCATTAAAAGTGTGACATTAAAAAAGAAAAACAAGAAATATAATGATTTGATGGTGCTTTTCCTGCATGGCAGGGGGTTAGATGACCATTGTGGTCTCTTCCAACTCTATTATTCTTTGATTCTAATAAACAATGCGGCACATTCTGAAAGGTCCTCTCTACTTGAACAATCTGTCCTCAAAGGCTCCTTGGAACAAAAAGGTCTTCAGTGCAGATCCAATCACATTTTAAAAACTCAATTGCACTGGGCAAAGTGCTGTGTGGAACCACTCTCAGAAACTAAAGTCTACTCAATACAATTTTCTGAATCAGAAGCCCAAATACTTCCAGGAACAGGCCCACAAACCAAGAAACTAAGATTTTTTTATTGAGCTGTGCAATTTATGATCTATTTTTTAAAAAGTGGTTCTTTCCCCATGAGTCAATGTCTTGTGAAAAACAATATTTATATGTATAGTGGGCACATGCTAATTCCTTGTTTAAATTTTGCCTTGAAATATAAGTTACTTTTCCTATACCTCTGGTTAATTATCTGTTTCAAATAATAGTGATGACTCTGGAAATGTCCAACTTTGAAAATGAGAAAACAAATTGCAACAAATGATGACTGTGAATTGTAATAAAATCCCCACTGTGAATTGTAATAAAGGAAGGTGTAAAATTTAAGCATCTACCACAGCTATGATTTACAAGGTGTCTTCATTTTAACATCACACCATAGATGTGATTAACAACATCAGAAAGTGACCCTGAAAGTGTTATGGAAACTTTACTTCATGAACTGAAAGAGCTTGTTTGGTAAGGCTCAAGCAAGGGGTATGACAGGGTAGAATCATGAACTAATATCATGTTCTTATAGTTCTGCATCCAATGTCACATCCTTTCATTCAGCATTAATAAATCAGAGATAATATACACTGTGTTCTCTGTCCACAGCCATTAATAGATTACAACCCCCAATTCATAATCAACAGATTCATTTCACAATCTAGAATCATTGCTTTACTGATTTGCATTTTTTACAGACATGCAATTTAAATTGAAAGAAATCTTAATTGATTAGTATATGCCGACAGACTGATGGAATTCCATCCCATTTTATGACAGTTGGTTAAAGAATGCTAAGGGATAGCTGCTTCATGTTAATTGAATGCTGTCATAAAAAAGCCATTTATTTTCACATCTTGAATATATTTCTCCAGAGTCATGCTGTTTATACCTTCCACATCTTTAAGATATGATAGATCCTCACACATATCAAAAACACCACACTGTCAAAAAATTTCAACTACCACATAAAAAATTAAAAGCAAGCCACACGATGGAACAAAAACACTATTTCATTCTGTACAACCTGGTAAGTCCAATATATTTCCTTTGTTATCATAAAATCGTGTTTTCAAAATAACAAGACTGAGAAGATCTATGTATCATCAATAAAGTTTTACAGTTTTAAATTCAAATAGAATTTGTGCCTCCAACCTAACTTATTCTCATGGATTAATTCCAGACTCACTCATATTTGGAGATGAACAACTGATATAAAATGGACCCAATATATTCCCACCCTGTAAAACTGAGCAAATGTAGAGCCTGTCTTATTAAGTTATTTGCCACAATATGATTCGAAATATGCTATTGGTTTCTTTAATATTTTCTTCTTGGTGATTGGTTAAATGTTTCTGTAGTTGAGTGGTATTTTGCCTCTAGTTTTGATAGAGTTTTGTGGATGGTGCCACATTTGCTTTCAAAGAGTTGATGCATATATTAGTGGGGAGGGATTGGTGGAAGTAATCTACTGTTCTCACCCTCCTACTATAGGTCTCCTTCACTTCACTTTTCTCTTGTTTACCATGCCTTCACCTCTATGCTTCTGAATTTGCTGAATGGAGGATTTTTTAAAGATTCCAGCACAAAATAGATGCTTGCTTTCTTAATAATTTGGGAGTGGTTTAGTGTTCTAGTACTGGACTACAGCACAGCAAATTATATATTTTTAAGTGGATCACAAAAGTGTGAAAAGTTAACACATTTCATACCATTGCACTTCATAAAAGCAAAATGAAACATAACAATAGATGCACACAATTCAAGATGTACTAAAATATACATGAACAAGTGCCATATTAATCTAAGGGTTAAAATGCTATGGTGGCTGACAAAGAATTGCTGTTAAACACACTAAGATAAAAGAAATTCAATCTGGATCTCTAAAATATCATTAAATAATGACAACCACTATATTCTAACATATGTAGAACATCTTGATGGTCTCTTAGAATACTATTTGTACTCTTAGCAAAATAAAGAGGCTTACATTAGAGGAATCTAAGAGCAAAGAAAATAAGAACAAGGAACCATAATATAGATTTGGGAAAGTAAAGGCATTTTCTACAGAGTAACCACAGACATACATTATAAAGAGGTATAGTAATTTAACAAAGACTATCTGAATTCACGTAAAGTACGGGAATTTTGGAGACAAGTGGAACTTGAAAAAAAAGTTCTAAGTTTATTGAGACAATATAGGAAACAACATTAACAATTGGCTATTAAGTCAGAAAGGAAACTGATATAAATTCCAAACCATCACTGCCTTATTACAAGAAAATTGTTAAGGCACATAGTTTATTATGGCTTCACAACATATATGATTTCCTTAACTATCTTAATAAATATTTCATGTAAAGCAGACCATGAAATCTGTCTACTGAAGTTGAAAATAGATTCAAGTGGACATGCTTCACAATGTACTCTAAAAAATATCCACATTGCCCCTCCCATGACTTCACTCCAAATACTATCTAAAATTTCTGCTTTTAGTAATGATCTCAGGAACCGTATGCACATGTTGAACAGTGATGTCTAAAGATCATTCTCTATGCATAGAGTACATCAATGCATCACCCAGTTGCAAAATATTGATTTATTTTAGATTGTTTCTCATTTTTGCGAAAATATTTAATTGCGAAGTTTCATATATATATATGAGAGAGAGAATTAAACATGGTTCTGGTAAACTAGATCTATGACCACATCATATGGCTGCTGGAATTGTCCCACACCATCAGGAGCACCCCATGCCCCACATTGCCTGGCTTGCAAATCAGCTAATCCCAATGGGGGAAGCATCAATTGCACAGCTTCCCCCATGGCTTCTTATGGCAACACAGGAAGCATCCTGTGTTGTTGCAGCAGTTGCATGCACCGCTCTGCCCTACATCATCCAGAGGACTTTCTTTTATACCATTGTGCCGCCGGTATCGTTTGATGGGAGCCAGGGGGCTTCATGGATGGTGTAGGGTGGAACCAGCATATGCCACCAAAATCTTGCCCTTGTGATGAAGTGGTATGCATTTTTGCACTAGCAACAGTACCAAGGATCTTTCAGATTGCTTGCCAATTCTTCTCTCACTATGCATATTGTATAATGTAGGGGAAATCCTATTACAGCATGGGACAATCATGTTCAATGCTTTGATGAACCAGCCTTCTGAGCTGGCTGGGGCCTTGAAACTCTCTTCCATCATCCCTTTTGCAAGGGTGTCCTATTCTCAGGAACAGATCTGGACTAATACCAACAACAGCTATCTCAGTACAATTGTGATGGAATAATGATTTTACTGCTGGGAGAGGAAGCACAGATTTCATTTGTACTCTGCCAATCCTTTTGATGGTGAAAATTCCACTCCAGTCTTTTTGTTTCACAACTACGCCACCTCTAGAAGCTGTATTTGGAGAAACTGGAACAAGTAATAACTGCTGGAATATAATGGCTATTCCTTGATTCAAATCAGCAGGTAATTCCCTTCAGGTCTATAACTTAGGTCATGCTCTCCTGGAGATCTAGCAGTATTGTTAATTCATCTTCATGGATGCTTCCACCATGCAGCACAGTTTATCAACCTGACTAACTACACAACCACAAGAATATATTAACATTTCTTCTTCATCTTTTCTCTTGGCACAATGGTATAAAAGAAAGTCCTCTGTGCATGGCAACCTGGGCATATCTTTCTCACAGTACTATTTTTCCATTATTTTTAAAGCTGAGGCATACCTGATGTGTATCATCACAGTGGCATTGCTATACTCAATAGAAAAAGAGAACAAGTTTTCTTACCTGAGCCCCTTTTGGTCACAACCTTCAAACTCTGAACAAGAGTAGCATACAAGAGGATTAAGTGAGGAATAGGAGCTTTCATCTTCCAGTTCTCCAAGGCTGTTCCCTAAACCAGAAAAAAATAATATATCTTATAAAGTTTTGTTTTTGCAGAAATACCAGTTTGGAAATTAAACAGAGAAAGAAAGACTGAGATGACAACAACAGTTTACCTCCTGTGGTAATATTCTGTCTGATATTTTTAAAAAATCCAAAAGAATCAGCATCAAATTCACTGCTCTTATTTAAAAAATGAAGAAAAATTACTCCGAGCATTAAGTTTGCTTGACCACATTGAAATCAATGGGCTTTGCCATCCAAGGCTCTGTGCTGGCTTATATACCACAATTTGCCACGAACATTTTAGTGAACAATCTTCTGTAATGTGGAAATTAAACTACTTTGGACAGCCTATGGCTCTGACTATGTAAGCCTTCAATACATCATCCAGATTTACCCCCACAAAGAGAAAATATGGGTTTGTTTTTATACTGTTCCTCATATTCGGAGAAAAACACATTCCTATGGAATTATCTATTAGAAATACAAAACTGGTGAAACTCTGAATCCTGATATTTTCCTCTGGAAATTCATCTTGAGCCTTGGGCATTTCTGCACTAAATCAGACCATGGAACACTTTTTTTCTGTAGATGTTCATTAAATGTAAAAAAAAAATCATACTCAAAAGAAGTAAGGATTGGAATTACACCTGCTTCTCTGCATACAAAGTCTCTGCTTACATGGTACATAGACTCCCTACTTAAAATCTGTACCCAGAAAATTGGACATATGAAATATTTGTAAGAGCAGGTGCAATGCAGGCTTTGAACAGATTATATTTAGATGTGGCCTGATCCCAATTTTACCATTTACATAATCATTCCTGTATATCATGAATGTCGGCAGAGAGTTAAATTACTCCAAGTAGCTAGTTTACATCAATCAAACTGTAGTATCAAACACAAACACAATCAAACACAAAGCAGTGGAACAGTAATTGGAGAACCAAACTACACGTAAATATGAGATATTACATACATACTATACCAAAAAAGAAAAAAAAAACAATCACAGAATCATAGAATAGTAGAATTGGAAGAGACCACATGAGCCATTTAGTCCAACCCCCTGCCATGCAGGGAAAGCACAATCAAGGCACCCCTGACATATGGGGGTGGTGCTACATTTAATTTTTCCAAAAGAACTGAAGAGATATCAAATTGTTATCATATCAGGTCCTGACATTTCAGGATCAAAACATGTGGTCAAAAAATAGCCACCGGTGCAGGGTGGTAGGTTTAGTAATGATATCATTAGGTAATATACATTAAACATAAATCCCAGAACCTGAGACCTGAACCTAATATTTTCACAAATTAGATAGATAGATGGATAAGATAGGTAGATATATCTTATTCTTCAAGTTGGATTTTTGCCAAAAAAAAAGTTCACACATTCCACAAAGAAGTTTAATTCAAATTTATCCGAGGTATAGAAGAAGATCCTGTAAGGTAGCAGATTTCTCTCTCCACCACCACTTGCCAACAATGCCGAGAATTTTTTGAAATAAAGATTTACAGAGTTAGATGTTAGTAGGAGAAATACAAAGCTGTGGTAGAAAAAAAGTAATTCTGTTTCATGGAAATACTCAGCACTACACATTTGCATTCAGGATTTGTATGTACTTCCCAGGATATAAATTAAAGCCTGTTTTGCAGAGGTGAGGCAGAACTGATGCAACTAAAGCTATGTCACACTAGGTTGCTGCATTAGACTGCAGGCCTGAACTGTATGCTTCCCTAACTAAAATTATATTTTTCAGTCACTGCACTTAGTAATACTGCAGGAAATCCTGATGCTGATATCTTCAGTCTTTGAGATACTAGAGAGCATTGGCTCTTTACTCTGCATGAGCCTTACAAATGCTACCAAAAAGAGCAAAAGTCTTTCATACAACACTTTAAGATTAGGAGATAAGGTCTGGCTGGCTAGAGCACAGAGACTCATTTTGGCCAGCATGCTGAAGAGAACATTGTCTGTTTCAAAAGGAAATAGATATCTATAATGTATTGCCAAAGCAGATGCTTAGACAGAAGGCTTGTATCAGTATAGACAAAAAGAGCACCCAAGATATAAATTTCAATTGATAGGATAGTCATTCACTCACTAATTACTGAGATTTTAACTGGGCTACTTTCTTTTTCCCCCGTATAAGTTTTATTGCAAATACTGTATATAAGGAATGGGAAAGGGTAGCAGAGTGGATGTAGAACAGGGGCATGTTAAACATCTCACATCTTTGTCTTCCTTTGCTGTCTTCCCTTGCTGTTTAATTTTCTATTATGTCAAAAATGAAAGAACATTTCTTTTCTAATCTAAAACAGAAGGATAGAAAAGCAAGTGTACAATATTTGGAAACAAAGGAAATAGAAAAGTTGAGAAATGGAAAACAGAATGCTTCCTACCATTTCTCTGCTGTACAAAAAATCTATTATTTTGTCATAAAATTTGAATGCTCCAGGCACATGCATATTTGCAGAGCTTACATTACACTCCTTGTGTCTGCCATGTGTTGCATATCTTTCTTCGCCACTTGTTGTCCTTTCTGTAAATAATATGCAGACTGTGTAATTCTCTTGTCAAGCCTGGCCTCCAAATTTTTCATTCAATCTGTAATGTTTCTTAATTGGGTGAATATTACCTTCATTGAATCATCTTCTTGCAGAAGAGATCATCTCCTGGAAGCTTATTTCTGACCTTGGAATCTTGATCTTATTGACACTGCAGACATTTCTGTAGTCAAGCTGTCTTGTTTTCTTTTTTAAAAATAGATGTATAATTTTTGAAGATTTGTTGTAGTGCCTCCTTCAGACACTTTCACGTGTAGTATGCTGTTGCTTATAGCCTTTTAGTTGTTATCCTGTTTTCTGTATTTCAAGTTGTTTCAAGTTCTATAGTTTTCTCTATGCCTTTCTCTATGGATTTATTTCTATGGTTTATCTCTGATTCATTTCTATGGTTCACCTCTACGTTGGCAAAAACTGCACATCACAAGTGCTGAACCTTACTCAGCACATAGAAGATGGCTTTGAAAGGCAGCAGATCACAGGACCTGTCTTCATAGACCTGTCCGCAGCTTATGATACTGTGAACCACCGCCTCCTCTTGAGAAAACTGTATAATATCACAAAGGACTCCCACCTCACCCGCCTCATAGGAAAGCAGCTACAAAACAGGAGCTTTCCAATGGAGAGGAAAAATGCAGTTCACCCCTCAGATATGTTTATGTCCATGAAGTTGGAAAATTTACAGAAGATTTAAAGGCATCCATTGATCCTTTGGGGCTCTGCTAGTGGTTGTGAGGGGCTCCATGTCAGGTAGCACCATGCTGCTTCCCTCCTCTTCTCTTTTCCTCCTACTGCTCCTTCAGACTGGTGTAAGAGCATATGGTAACACCACCATGCTGCTTCCCTCCATCCCCCCCCTGAAATATAGTATTTTATAGTTTATATAGTATTTTAGGAGGTGAATTAATTTGGTTTCTGTTTGCATCTGTTTGCTGGGGTGTGTTACAGTCTGGAAGTTAGTGTGCCGTCGCGCCTGGGGGCTATTATCCTCAATAAAGGAGGGATGGACATGGCATATTTCCCCCAGGGGATTGCTTCTTGCCCTCCTATAGGAAACTGGAACTCCAAAAAACCCAAAACGCTGTAAATAGCTCAAAATAAGTTTTATTTATCACAAAGTCATTTCTTCAAAGCAATGAGCTGGAAAACTTTAGAGGGGTGAAGGAAAATATACATTACAGTCTCAATTAGTCCTGGGTCCAAGGGGTTTGAAGCTGAGAAGCCTCACTAAGTTTCCCCCTTCCTCAATGGCTGTGAATGCCGGAGCAAACCACAACCCCAGTTCAGATGGCCTATGGTTTGAAGATTCAGGATCTTCCTTTGGTGCCAAAAGAACTGGCTTGAAGGCGCCTGGGTCTCCTCAATATTGTCCAGGACAATCTGGACATAAAGCATGAGTCCCAGGGGTAAAAAACCTCAGAACTGGTGCTAAGAGGTAACTTAAATCAGGGTCCTCAAGAATCAAGTCTCTTACTCACATCCATATGGTACGAACTCTGATGGCAGAATGAAGAAGAAAAAGAAAGTTCTCCCCTCTTGCAGGAAGTACTGATTGACAGCGGATTGACAGTACTGATTGACAGCTACAAGCAACCAATCCATACAACTATACATAAGCAGGGTAAAAAGGGGTTAGTCCAGTTAGTCCTAATGTTCAGGTGGAATCTCCTTTCCTGTTATTTGAACCCTTGCTCAATGTCCTAGCTCCTGTTAAGAGCTCATTAGAGCCCTATGATCTTGCAGAGAAGCTGTTCTTTCAGTCCCATCCACTTCTAGGGCTCATTTTTAGGATCAAAGGAGGGCCTTCTGGATGGCTGTTATCAGACTTTGTAACTCCTTCCTTAGGGAATAGTGAAGTTTTGCATTGTTTTTAATTTATATCTTTTTTAATATTTTGTAAACTGCCTTAAATTATATTATTGAGAGAAAGGCAGGATATAAATGAATAAAATCATTGTAATCATTATCATCCAAAAAGTACATGGAAATATAAGTATAACAAATAATAACAGGAAAAGAATGTTCCCTGTAACATTTTTTTTTCACAGCATCCTATCATAAGGCAAAAGAACAGATATACTGAATAATTTTAAATTGATTTCCATGAACTATTGGTATCAGTTTAGATACGAATAGTTCATTCAAAATCTTATTTGGCAAAAGTGGGATCAGCTTTCAAGCAGAAACACACTGTCCCTTTAAGAAGGATCAAGTCACAATGATTATGTGTTGCTGGAATTAAAATCCACTCAATTGTTATGCAGGGCATACATAGTAAAACAGTGCTGTGTGGTACTAAATGTTCCTGTGCTGAGATGATCTGGATTCAGCAGACATCTCTTTCAGCAAGAGCAATGTCCCTACACTTCAAAGTTGCCAACTATGGATATAATTCCTTGGTCTTTCCATCTTTTATGAACTATAATATAATACAAAGAT